CGACTGAGCCAGTTAGGTGCCCCCCGCTCCTTTTTTTGCTTGTGTGTGTGTGTGTGTGTGTGTGTGTGTGTGTGTGTGTGTGTTTGCCTGTCTGTCTATTTTTCAGATAACAATCATTTACTTCTTTTTCCCCCCTGAGTCAAAGGGGAATGGAGAAAGGAATATGAGAAAGGAATAAGTTCATGATAAATATTGCCCAGCTCCCCAACTTGTCCGAATGCTTGTTTGTTATCTTCTTTCAATTACTTGGCTATTACAACCTGATTGCTGCCTTCACAAGTAGGAATGCTTAAAAATATTATTCTCATATTTCTAGCCACTATACGAATCAAAACACCCTCTCCTTGTGCTAACATTTGCAATTACACTTACATATCATTGTCATTTCAGAAAAGTATGATAAAATCTACCGCACTGACGAGGTTCTACTTAACAGCCATGGTTCTGGATTCCCAGTTTTAACTAGTTAACATAGTCCTAGGGTTTTAGTAGGAAGAAGTGGCCCCTGAGTTCTCCATTTCTTGAATTTTTACTTTCCCTCCTCGGATGGACCTCTTTAGGTAAACAACTCATCGTTTCTTTAACTGGCATCTCACCTGCCCACACTGCAGAGGCCCGTGGACCAGAAAGGATCGGAGCTGGTATGGAGGGTAGGTTTTGCATCTTTTGGTTAAATACCAGAGAATGCTTGTGTCATACAAGAGATCTGGATGTTGTATCAGTCCAGACTACTCGTGATACCTAAGGTAAGGAGCCTTCTGATTCCGCGATGCCATTAATGCCTAAACTTTATCCCAGCTGCTCTTTGTAAATACTTCTAATAACTAAAATCTCGATAAATGAGCAGAAATAAAACAAGCTGGTCATGTGTTATATCCAGAAATCGGACTGAATCTCTTCAGTTTATTTTAGTTTTGCTGAACATGTTATTATAATAAAACCTGCACCAAAGCTTTCGTCTACTTGGGAACCCCATTTTGATGCTGAAATTACACCGGTGCTCAGAGAGAAAGTTACATTTGGCACAACCGTTCTTTTCAGTGATTATGAAAAGAGGAAAATTTAGAGCGCATGCTTCAGAAGTAAATTTCTAATTTCCTGTAATTAAACCTTGATTTCAGATGGGAGTTCTTGTAAGGCTGCAACACGTCTCACTGGTACAAAAATGTTTTGTTCTGCTGATATTATAAATTAATAAGGTACCTTTATGTTAGCGAATCAAGTTAGCGTGCCATTTCTACAAATATTAAAGACTTCAGGGCTCAAAATTATATCAAAATCCTTCCTGAGAATATAGGTTTTCAAGGGCTCTGTTTTCAGTATTATTTTTCTTTGTTCATCAACATAGTTCATTGGGACACTTCTGAGGAAGCAGCGTTTTTCTTCCAACTTGTAACCCTCATTCACATATACTCTATTTCAAACGTCCTTGACAAATGTCACTGCGTACTACACACACAAATGAAAAGAGAGGTTCGGGTGGCTTCAGATTTCTCATGAATCTATAAGGCCAGGGAAATGGAATGATTGGCTTTGGAATGGTACAAGGCCAACATTTTCATTGAAGAAAGCAATCTGTCTCACGAGTGGTGATGGGTAGACCTCTAGGGTACAGGTAGCCTCTGAATTCCCACTTGAACTAGAGCTTTGCAAATGAGTTTCCATCTGTGAGATTCGCCCATGTAAAGCTTTCCTTTTCCACCACGCACAATACTCTTTTTATCCACAGCCTCTTATCTTAGGGTTCACATGTGAAAGACCTCCAAAGGGACAAAGCAACGATGGCACCTCAGCTGTGATTTAAGGAACCGGTAGAATTTCTTTTACTCAGACTGAAGTGGGAGAAGCACCAGCAATACAGATTTTGGAATGGGCTCATTTGAGATATTGGGATTTAAAAAAAATCCAAGGACCATGAAATTGGTACTGACTCAGATATGGAGTGGGGTCAGGGTGGGAGTCTCCTGGAATCAGCAAATCTTGGACCATATAATACTTCAGGCATTTATTCTGAAATGTATTGAAATCCAAGAATTGTCTGTCTTCCCTAAAGAAATATTCATTGATCGATCTTCCTGGAACTCTTCTTCTATGTTCCTTTTTTACCAGATAGAATCACTCATAAACTATGATTAAAAAAAAAAAAAAAAAAAAAACGTACCAAGTCAATCATGACACCTTGTCTTCTATTGAACAACATGTACAAATCCTGTAAATAAATAGGTGAGAAATTCCAAGTGGGCACCTGTAAGGCTAGTTACTTTTCGAGTTTCCTGGAGCACACGTAACTGTGAGGTCTGCTCTTGCTACAGTCCTGCGTTTGCCATTTCCCTTGTCTTTGAGCCAAAACACAGTTCTTCCCAGGCTTTGAACGTTGAAGGGGGCCTTTCCTCCAGTTGGTGAAGACGACAGGTTCACCACCAATCCACTCCCAGTGGCCAGCATGCACTTGGTCATTCAAACCTGATGTGAACCAAAGAATGTGCCAAATTATTTTATTACATTTATGCTTGGGTATCACGTCAGTCTCTTGCTCTAATCTCAGCAATCATGTACAAACATGAGCCTACGTTCTGAAACACAGAATAGGATCTGGGAATCCTAAGACACAGGTGAGAACATTTGGCCGATCCGAATCCAAATCCTCGCTAGTTGAGCATCTTCGGGCAGGTCGCTTAACCACTTTGAGTTTTAGTTTCCTCATCTAAGAAATGGGAATAAAAATAGTATGTCGAGGGCCATTTTCAGTATGAAATAAGATAATGCATGTACGTTTCACAGCACGCATGCATGTCTAATAAATGGCAATTATTATTCGTATTATTCCACAGGCAGAACTCCTATCCCAGGGAAACAGGTTACACTCTTGTCTATAGTTCTTCTTCTTTGCTATTTAAATCTCTTGGTTTTCATATTCGAAAGTAGCTTAACTAGATATTATTTTTAGTCTGGAACGTAAGATTTTTTTTCAGTCGGCTATAATTCCAACAAAAAGCAGCTTTTCTCAACTTGCCTCTCTACTCCCACTGGCAATTTTACAAATTACACTTCAGTGTTGCAAAGCTTTTGTAATTTTTCTTAAAGAAACATTCCTCCTCCTCGCTCTCCTTCATAATAGAAATAAAGAGAATAAAATCAGAAAAGAATCCCCTGTAACAGCATGATCTGACATCTCCCGACCAAATTTAACCATGAAAATAGTCTTAGCTGCATAACCTATAACCTCCTGAGTGAGCCTCCCTCAATATTTTGGGGTAGAATAAAATGAACTATCTCCTTCCGGATTGTTTCCTTGCATCTTTGATCAGAAGATGCTATGCCTAAGTATTCTGTGGGAACAGAGCCTTGAAATCAGTCATTGTGGAAGTGAAGAAAATGTCTCCTCTAGCTTTGACTTCATACACTCAGAAAATTTCAGAATTTCGAGATGTACTAAGTATTACAGAGATTCGGAGAAGCCAAGATTGGGTTTAGTACAGTTCCCTGAAATCCAATACCTTCAAGGTCAGACGGTGGAAATACTGACTTTGAAGCGCCCTGAGAATTCTACTTCTAAAAATAGAATCTGAAGAGATTTGTATTCTTGTTAAAATTGAAGATGTTAAAACTTCAGAAAACAAGGGATAAAATTAAGATCGCCTATACTTGTCAATAGCTGCAAACATTTCTAATTCTTTAACGTATTTCTTTATATATGCATATGTATATACCATATGCATATATATATCACATGTATATAAATTTTTTCTCATAATTATTTTCTGCTTCATATCGCTGTGGACTCTGCTTTTTTACTTAGCACCTGCCACAAATGCAATACGTTATGTATTTTATATATAATATGCTTCCAACGTGTATTTCTTGAATGAAATAATAAACATAAAGCACTTTGTTATGTCTTTAATATTTTATGCCTTACAAAAGCATTAAATATTAAATACTCCTTCTTGTGGCTATACTATAATTTATTTAACCATCCCCTATTGACAAGTGCTTCTAATTTTTTACTTTTATTTTTTTTTTAATTTTTTTTTCAACATTTATTTATTTTTTTTGGGGGACAGAGAGAGACAGAGCATGAACGGGGGAGGGGCAGAGAGAGAGGGAGACACAGAATCGGAAACAGGCTCCAGGCTCTGAGCCATCAGCCCAGAGCCTGACGCGGGGCTCGAACTCACGGACCGCGAGATCGTGACCTGGCTGAAGTCGGACGCTTAACCGACTGCGCCACCCAGGCGCCCCGTTACTTTTAGAAATACCATTTGTTGAATTGTCTTACCTATAATCCAAGCCACATCCCTTATTATTTCTTTGAGATAGATCTCCAAAAATGAAAGCATTGTGTAACTAAAATGAGTTTTAAAAGGCAGACCATCCACTGGGTGCCCCCTCCAAAAAAGAAAAAATAGACTGTCCAATCATGGAACTGTTGCCTGTTACTGCAAACCACAATTATTTGGCCCAGGGGAAGGAGATGCCTCCTTCATGTTCCTGCCTCCCTCCTCAGCGCAGACACTTGCCTATCCAAAATGGCTTCCGTCCGCTGATGTCCCACAGCCACCGCATATGCTGCCTGGAGAGAACTGTGACGAGGCTGCCCAGGTGACTGCAAACAAACAAAAAGGAAAGCATTGGTGACAGGGACTCCAACACTCCTGTTGATATGGAATGCAGAACAGAAATCAAATCTGTTCAAAATAGAAAAGTGTACACACACACACACACACGGAAAATTTTCCAAGATTTTTATACTCTTTCATTTTTTTTTTTATTTTAATGACTATCTGTAAGGTGGGATAGGTGACAGCAAAGAAAGGGATTTTTTTTATACTATCTAGGCACAAAGTCAACAGTTTTTAAATATCTTTAGAAAAGCCAGCAACTACCTACTTATAAAAATTAATGCTAAAATATTACTCCTCTCGCAGAGCGTCTATCTCTAAATGGCATAAATTTGGCAAGTATCCAGTTAATTTGACCAGTAAGGTAACCCAGACTATTCAGATAAAATTACTCGAGGCAGACAATTTGCGCTTGGTATGTTTAATCAAATATCCCAATAATTGTGACCCTTTGATCATACTCAGTGAAATGAGCATGAAATGTTCATAGGTTGTAAAAAAGTTAAAGCACATAGTCCTATAATCATACATATTTTGCCCCCAAATAGAATTGTTTTTATGTTTAAGGTGTATAGCATAATGACTTGACTCATATGCATTGTGAAATGATTACCATAATGAGTTTAGGTAGCATCCATCGGCTCATATAGATAGAAAAAAACAGGAAAATCAAAATTATTTCCTTGTGGTGAGAACTCTTGGGATTTACTCTCTTAATAACTCTCATATGTCATATAATATCATATAATATCATATATCAGTGTCAGCTACATTCCTCATATTGTATGTGATATCCCAGTACTTAATCATCTTATAACTGAAAGTCTGTACCTTTTGACCACCTTCATCCAATTACTTTACCCCATATCCCTGGCCTCTGCCACTCACATCTGATCTTTTTTCCTGTGAGTTTGTTGTTTTGTTTTGTTTTAAGATTCTACATATCAGTGAGATCGTATAGTATTTGTCTTTCTCTATCAGATTCATTTCACTTTGCATAATACTCTCGATGCATATTATGTTGTTACAAATGGTAGGATTTCCTTCTTTTTTATGGCTGAATAATATTCCTGGGTGTGTGTATGTGTATCACAACTTCTTTATCCATTCATCTGTCGATGGAAGCTTAAGTTATTTCAATGCCTCAGCTATTATAAATAATAAACATGCTATAACATGGGGGTGCAGATCTCTCCACAACATTCTATTTTGATTTCCTTCAGATATAATCCCAGAAGTGGAATTTCTGGATCATCTGGTAGTTTTTTTTTTTCTTTTTAGAGAGAGCGAGAGCGAGAGAGAGCCAGGGAGCATGAGCAGAAGAGAGGGGCAGAGGGAAAGAGAGAGAGGATCTTAAGCAGGCTCCACACTCAGCTCAGAGCCCAACTCAGGGCTTGATCATGACCTGAGCCACAACCCGGAGTCGGACACTCCACTGGCTGAGCGAACCAGGCGCCCCAAGGTAGTTCTGTCTAGAATCTTTTGAGGATACTCCATACTGTTGTTTTCCACAGTGTCTGCACCAATTTGCAACCTCATCACTAGTACCCGGCGGGGTTTTTTTTTTCTCCACATCCTCACCAGCAATTGTTATCTCCTATCTTTTTGATGATAGATATTATAACTGGCATGAGAATTCTTTATGAACTATTTTTGTAGCTAGCTGAATTATTCCTATAAGCAATATTTGATTGTTTCTAATTCTCCAACAGTGCTCATTAAAAGCTCTTTTAAAATGCCTTCAGTAAAAGGCTTGTAATTATTTTTTTCTTTTGTTCTTTTTTTTTTTTTTAATACAGAAAATTTCAAACAAGAAACAAAGCCACCACGTTCTTGTCTGGTTAATATCCACTGACGTTTTTAAAAGTAGGAAACAAAACTGGTAATACTTGTACCCGTTTAGAAAACTGTTGAATTGAATTCTATTCATTTTGCCTGTCTTTCCAAACTTCAGAGGCATTTCTCTGCTTTTCCAGATCACCTATGGTGAACATAATTTATCCATTTCTTAATGATTTTTCCCCACTAAAACTAGTACTTTACTGTTCTATAATGCAGTGGTAAATTCTAGGACTTCTGAGATACATATAAGGCTCTCTCTTTACCCTTCTCCTAGTGGCCTCAGCCTGCTGGATTTGGGTTTTGGTGACTGGGCTCTGACCTCATTATTTACTGTCATCTCCTGTCTGACAGTTACAGCAGATTTGACGGCACAACTTCTTCCCTTCCTCTCACATCCAATATGGTAATTCTAACGTGTTGAGGGTTTAGAACCCAGAGTATCAAATGTGTGTTAAATGTAGGCCAAGGGAAGGCTCACGGGGCTGCCTCACTCAACATGGTGTACTGAACAGAGTGTGGGAGACCTGCGTTCTCTTCCTGCTCTGCCTCTAATTCCTTTACGGATATGACTGGAGCCTGCATCATCAGGAAGTAACAGGTCTCATTCAAGGATATTTACCATCTCCTCTTGCTTTAAGATTCTTGAAACTATCGTTAGAACAGACTTTGTAAAATCCATTTTCACTGGCCAGGTACAAGTTTGATTTGTGTGTGTGTGTGTGTGTGTGTCTCCAAGAAGCAAAAAGTCCCAAAAGAGCAAGATGGGAAAACACTGTGTTTAGGACAGGTAAAATGTTAGACCATAGTCATTTATCAAATGAACATTTAGGCACCGGTATGTTGGTTATTTTACAAAACCATTCCTTTTCTTCTTTATTCCGTATCCACATGAAACAGCATGAACGTTACTTCTACAGATGTGTATATAGAGAGATATACAAATGAAAAGAAAGAAAGACACATCAATAAAAATCTTTTGACAGCTCCGCAATTTG